CAGTTTTTTTCTTATTGAACATCTTGACGAAATCTCTGATACCAATTTCTATTGTGTATTCTTTCCATGCTGCTATCGTGAGGACTTTTCCTAGCTCTGGTAATTGATGTCAAGTTATTGGGTTCTCCTGTCTGGCCTATTTGGCAAGTAAGTCTACTTGATTGTTGAATCTGTTGGTTCTGTGGACTTTGACTTTTAGGATTTTCAGATTCAGGTCTTTTTTCTTTACTAGGTCCTTGATTTTATTCCAAAGTAGCCAGTTAGTGATTTTTGTCCATCTTCTTGTAGATATCTCTATTTGTGAATAGATAAATTTCTAGACTTTGACTGCAGTGTTGCAGTCAGTGTAAATTGTAACTATTGTGTTTCAGAGGGCTGTATATTGTGTAGTGAGAATAGTTGGTATTTCGGCTCTGGTTGCTGATGGTCATATAAATGCTCCTACTGAAAACTGTTTAACTATCTTGTCTTTCTCTATCATAATCCAAGTTATACCCATTTCGAATTCATAATCTATTGTTCTTTTTTTATAAGACTGTGATTTTTATTTACTACGAAATAATGTTGTACATATGATAATTTATACATGGTAAATATATTACATACTATATATACTAACTAGCCCTGTTAAGAAAAACCACATAACGCTCTCTTAATTTTTTCTAAAACAATTTTATAGAGTAATCTAGTTATTAGATCGTTGCATATACTCTAACCTATCCCCAGTTTTAAGACTTCGGCGTGGTTCACAGATTTCTCTTTCCACCAAGGTCTCCCGATGATTCATAATAGGCAAGTTTGATCATACTTTTAAGCATCCCACCAGTACAATATTTACTCTTTTCAGCATTTCAGCCTTCTTAACTTGACAATTTCCTTATTGGTTGATAAGATTAGTGAAGTGTCTTAGTTAATCCAGTTTTTGTCCTGGTTGATCACGAGATCAGCCCCATCCTCCTCCACCTTATCATGATAATGATAAGATACTAATCATTCACAACATCCATAGACTGGCCTGATCTGATAAAGAACAGCTATAGGTGACACCATGTTACAGTGGATCCTTCCATTTTGGGTATCGATAAGATAGTCAGGACTACGCTCAATGACAAGTATTAACTTGTTATCCAATAGAATCATTTCATTGTATGTGGTATTTTTCACTTAGACCTTAGGTGATATTGAACTTTGAATCTTGTGATTGTGACCTGAGAGCACTATCACTATATTATAGATCCACAGGTCTAATATAGTAACAAGATATAAATAAGTTTCTATTGGTTATATTAATATATTTTAATGACATTATTAATAAGAAAAAAAGAAATTATTGAAGTAAACTTTTTTATTTTTTTAAATAAAATATAATCAAAGTAAAAAAACTACAGAAGTATTAAAATAAATATAAAATTTTTTAAGTAATAAAAAGATTTTTTTTTTTTAAACACTGTCTTATCCTGTATCTCTTCAGTCACTTTATTAATAGAAAATCATATTTAGAGATAATTGAGATAAATATTTTCCTGTACTGTCTAAGGAGTTACAGATCATTAGAGAGAAAATAGTATAAAGAGCTATCTATTTATGATACTCGATTTAAGTTTAACCTAATCAGAATAAAAAAAATACATAACCATCTAGTATAAATACTCTCTTCTAATAATAAAGAGAGGATTGATCAGATACACTCACAGGTGCATTGCTGGTTACCTGTTGTCATTAGTTTAGTACTATCTAGGATTTTAATTTACTGATCGGCTTATTGCTACCCATTAAAAGGACCTAAACTATCAAGACTTGTTCAAGATACTCAACACTATCTGATGCCAAGGGTCACTTGTACTAGTTAAGGATTAGTTAGTGTGAAAAAAAATAGAAGTAAAGGAAATGGGAAAAAATAAGGGGGGAAGTTTAAAAATATTTATAAGAAAATGAAAAAGAAAAAGGAATGAAAGGATACCTAACTATTACTTGTCTACCCAACTTTGCCTCTGAAGGTACTCAATCCATAGTCTTGATACTTTCAGAGTTAATGAGAGAGAGAAGATTACAGTTCATGTAATGTTTATCTATCTGCATAACTAGCCAATGATTTATAATAGATTTAAAGTTCTTATGGAGCTTAGGAAATGCATTCATATCCCATGTCACATATATCCTTATTTACATTTTTGCTAACTATGGAGTAACTAATTCCAATCTTCAATCAATCAATTTATCCAAAATCTGATGTAACAAAAAATTCAGGATCAAACTAGGATAGGTAAAATTCCTCAAAATATCAAGAAAAACTGCTGTATACTGGAAGAGAAACTGTTTCTGCCTATGGTATTAATGTCAGTTCCCAGGTTGATATGAAGTTATTGGATCACACTTCTTCCTAGACTTTGGGACATCTATAAGAAAGAAAGGAAAGATGTTTTTTCATATGGTTTCTTTTTTCTAGGAAAGTTTTCTTATCATTAACTTCTTAGGTAGAGGATTTTTGAAGAGAAAAGGTAAACAAGAAGGGTAAAGTATGACTATTGCTAACTGAAGCAGTTGTTTTTAAGGAAAGTTTTGAAGTAAGTTTTGTTACTCCCAAAACATAAAGTTTTGGAGGAACGCTTCTTTGAAAGTGGTGGTCAGGGATCTATGAGAAAGAGTTGAATGTTGACAAATGAGTAATAAAAAGATAGCTATTTGTTTAAACTAAAATCTTCAACTTTTTATTATTTTGTTTAAACAAAATACTTAAAAAAGATTATTATTTTATTGTGATTAGGTAATAAGACTGAAAAGTAAAAGATAATAAGCTACTATACTTTTCTAAAATTGAAAATATATATTTTTTAAATATTATATAATAATATAATAATTGATGAAATTTTATACTATTAGTTAAATATCTTTTTATTATTATAAAGTAAAAATTTTTGTTGGGAAATCTAACTTTTTAAATAATGAAAGATAATTACCAGTAAAATTTCTTTAATTAAATATAGCTATTGAAAAATATTAAAGTTACATATTATGATCAAAAAATTATATAAGAATCAAGTACATCAGATAATTACAAAATTATAGATAAAGTTTCTTAAATAGTCAGGAAAAAAAAAATTATCTCAAAAAGGTTAATTCCTAATAAAAGAAAATTTCTTGCATGTTTTTAGTTATTTCTTTTTATTTTTTTTTTCCTTTTATAATTTTTCAAAATTAAAATAATAGATAATAACAATTTACTAATAGTGATATATAAATTAGAAAGGTATTTACTTGATGTATCTCTATCAGTTTTCTTAATGATTAATAAAAAAAGAGAAATGTTGTAATAATGCAAATATTCATAATAAAGACAAGTTGACTGCGGATTAAACCAACCATTAAAGCTCTCTGAGACTAACTAAATTTTTTTTCTGCACAAAGATTATTTATTTATACGCTGTAAATTTGATTGGTTATTTAACAAACTTGTCACGTCAAACGTTAGAAATGTTGAAATTATCTCTCCAAAACGCTGTTTTGACTTATGAACAACTCGAGTCTACACCTTCAAGAATAGATGTCATTTCCGAAGATCTCGAAGATAATTTGCGAAGACTTGGTTGTGAGCTGATACAATCTGCGGGGATTCTGTTGCGATTGTAAGCAAACCGAAGTTTGGTTTTTTTGGACACAAATTTGTACTCTTTTATTGATTTTTGATAAATAAGACCCCAAGTAGCGATGGCAACAGCTCAAGTTCTTTTCCAACGCTTTTTTTATGTTGCATCTTTGAGGAAATTTTCAATCAGAGTAATTTTAGTTAAATAATTTGTTTCATGTTTTTACAGTAACTGGAAATAAATATTATTAACATTAGGATATAGGTATGGGTGCTCTATTCCTCGCATCAAAGGTTCAAGAATCTCCTTGTAAAATACGCGATTTGATTAATGTTTATTACTACCTGATAAGACGATATCGAAATTTGCCTATGGAACCTTTGGAATGTTTTAACTCGGTAAGCTGGTTTTGATTCGCATTGTTTTTTATATGAATGTTATCTAAACAGAATATTTTATCTTTTATATATATTTTTTAATAGAAGTTCTATGAAATGAAAGATGCATTGGTGATTGCAGAAATGCATATTCTCAGGCAACTCGGGTTTAATATGCATGTTCAATTGCCATATGGATTGATGGTAAATTACCTAAAAGTCTTGGAACTAACCGAACACGAAACTATTCCGCAAAAGGCATGGGGATATTTAAACGATGCGTGCGTAGTTAGATGTTTGTTTTCGAAGTTTTTACATTAATTTTATTCAAGCCGTTGAATAATTTCTTTTGAACAGATTACGTACAAATGTGTATGTATGTTACCAGCCACCAACTATTGCATGTGCTGTAATTTGGCTTTCCGCACGATTTGCTCAGGTCAAACTGCCAACATCTCCAGCATGGTGGGACCTATTTGAAGCCGAATTAGAAGATATCCTTTTATTTGATATTTGTTCATTTTATATTTTTTGAGTTTCCCCTTGACTTACACATACATATGGAAAACATAGCGCGTCATATCATGAGATTGTATGCTCCTAAATTGCCATCTGATCTACCAACCACTCTTGAGGAATTGGAAACGTACATGGATTCACAGAAAGTCACTGAATGATATATATTTTTGTCACTTTTATTGACCAATTTATATATTATTTTGACAGTATCTTGCGGCTACATAATTGTATGATTCCATTAGACAAAAATCATACCCATTGTAAGATAGTATGAGCAATTGTTTCTCCTATGTTGAGCGACTTTATGAATTATTGAGTCTCGGTAATTTTCATGAATCTTGAAAACAATTACCTGGTGACTTTTTCTCATATTCTATTCTTGATTGCTAGAATTAGTGCACGATTTAAGTTTGCGTGTAGTCTCTGAATTTTGAAATTATTTAACATTTGTTCAAGTATTAAACTCCCGAGAAAAATTTTTTAGGTTGTTGGTCTTTCAGATTTTACTTTGACTGAGCATTTTTTTTTTAAACCTGCAATTAGGTTGTGTTAGCTTGTCACCTTTATTAATCAAAAGATTAACAATACAGGATATTAAGACTTTATTATATGCACAGTTGACTTATTGATACATTTTAAACTTGACTACTTACATACGAGTGAATTTTTTAATTATGAAATTAAGATATTTGGATGAGTTTATTGGTTTTTGAAACAATACTAACTTTCGATTGACTTGACTTAATTCAAATTTTAATTAATTGTAATTGGTTTAGAATATAGATTTTGAGATTTAAATTAGGTCAAATTAAATTTATTTATATAAAAATTTAAAAGTATTAAGAAAAAAATAATTTTTACTTTAATATATAAATCTATAATATAGAGATAGTAATTTCAGATTATCAATTACAAAATAGGAGTCAAAAAAAATCATTTATTCATATTTATTTAATTATTTATAAATTATATAAAAATAAAAATTTTTATTTTTTATTAATTAAAATTAATATTAATTTATTAGAAGAATTTTGTAAAGAAATATTTTCAGTTTAATTATTTATGAATATTTTACTAATTTTAATTATATTATATAATTTTAAATTTTGATTTTTTATTTTTAATTTTTTTTTTTACCCTTTGTTAGATTAATTATATATACTTTATTAAATATTTGTAAATTGTACATATAAAAGGAGACACTAAAGCTAATTCTTTAATTAACTTATTCATCTTAATTATATTATCTTTCTATGTACAACTTTAGAAGCGATTTATCATTTCATTAGTAGTTCAGGTAAAAATTCTTCTAATTTTTAATATCATTATCTATAGGTTACTATTACAAATCACTTGTTCAAGTTCTAACAAAGATCAAAACCCAATTACTTTATATTATATTTCATACTATATAATAAGATTTCTTTTAACTTTTTGTCTTCAATCTTTTTCTCTTCATATACTGTATTGATTTTTTAATAAATGAACTTCTTATATTCTTGATTTTACTTTCTGATTCTATAGATAAAATGATCATTTTATTTTATCATATTTATAAATTTCTAATATTTATTTCTACTTAATTACTTTTTTATATTTAATATTTTATATTTTCTTTAGAAGTGATTATATATTTTCTTCTACATTTTTGTTATTCATCTTTTTGCCTCTTTTCTAATTTTCTTATTGCAACATCTTTATAATTAATTCTTCTTCTATTAGTTCTATGCAGAAGCCAAGTATATTCTAACTAGTTTTTAAGATTCTTTTTATTAGTTTTGCTATCTGTTTGTCAATCTCTCCCATTTCTATTCTATAATCTATTATTAAGTTTAATCCTTTCTCTTCAGATTCCTTTTTTTTATCTTTCAAGAGAATTTTGAATTTTTTCAAAACTTCTATTCCTTTTTGCCATACCTTATTTCATTAAATCTTATAAGTAATATATTCTAACAAGTGTTCTATTATTTTCTCTTCCTGATCACATATAATATATTTTACTTATTTATAAAAATCCGAACTTCTTATGGTTAGCTTAATTAATATTAGTAGTTCATAATTGATTAATTTGATAAAAAAGCTTTTGTTTTGTAAGCTCTTAAAGGAGATATTTGATGTATATTCATTCTTTAATTGTTTCTATACTAGATTTCATATATATTTATGCTAGTTTTAGATTTGTTGATCTCATCTTTTTTTGATTCTATCTTGAATTATCTATTAATAAACTATTATTTTGTTATTTGTTTATTTAATAATTTGTCTTATAGGAGTATCCAACACTATATCTTGTCATTTAATTTCTATAATAATCTTGGATAAGACAAGATTTTTCCATTTTATTATTGGAAAATTTAATACTTTTTTGATGAGAATATTTGTTTCTTTATTATACTGAATATTAAAATATATCTTAACTTTAATAAGTTTTAGATCTAGTATCTTTTTCTTTACAAGATCTAGAATTTGTATTTCCAGGAACCAGTTTTATTCTTTTAACTATCTTTTGTAAATCATTTTGGGATCCTTTTTTTTTATAGTTTTTCACTTTGAGATACAGACTTTACTATTTATATAGATTTGATCTTGTTATCTACTGAAACTACTAATAATATAGTTACTATTACTATTAATTTTATCCTAGTGGATGAAGATCAATTAGTTACTTTCATTTGGAATTTGTTTTCTCTTCCAATCTCTCCTATTTATATTCATACTGCTCCCATCTTCATGTTTGTACTTTTATAGTTTATAAGAAATTTATTAGAGTAAAAAATCATTAGTTTTTTCTTTTTTTATTATACTTAAGTATTTCAATTAGATAGAATGGATTAGTACTTTCTTCTATATAATCTTTAATAATGTTTTCTTTCTAATTCTTTATTTCAATCTATAGTATTTTTTCATTTAGGATGATTGCTTGATTATTATATATTGTTTTACATATTATTTCTTTCAGTGCTTCTTTAGAATTTGGAATTTCTAATAATTGGACTCTTCTGGTGAACTTTCTTATATTGAGGTAGAGAACTATATATATTTTCTCTATACCTGTTTCAATTATATATTAGTTTTCTATTTTTGTATCTTTTATGCATCCTTGATACTGGTTTAGTTTTAATTCTTGATTTTTAAAAAGACTAACATATTTAAAGTGCTTTATTTAAAATGCCTTTTGATATTATCTAAAATTAGTTTTCTCCAAACTATCTGTTACTATTTAAACTTGTTACTTGTAACCATTCAAAGTTTTTGTCATTTATCAATTTTGAAGTTAAGAGTAAGATGTTTTAAACTCCATTTTATCTATTCTGCTTTTTAGGATTTTATAAGTTGTTTTAATTTATTTCTATATATTATTTCAGTTATAAATAGATATTATTCTATAATGGATTATTTGCTTATTTTTTTATAACAGTTATAGCATTTTTCAATTTTTTACTTTTCTTATTTCATAATTAACTAGTTAATCTATCTACATCAGCTTATTATTTTTAAGCAATAAAATAGCTTTCCAATACTCTTTTATTAACAAGTATTCTCTAATTGGACTATTTTTCTGATTCCTATTAAAAAATATCATTTTATTTTTAACTTTGAAAGGTTATACTTATGTTCTTAGTTAGCTTCAGTACTTGTAACATAAAGTTATTCTTCTTTAGAAGATGATTCAGTGAGTCACATATAAATATATTACTAGGTATCTAATATTTGATTTGTGCTTACTTGAGTCTGATAATTATTATAGTTTTAGTTGATTCTAAATTATTTAATTTGTTGTTTAGCCCTATTATCTTATTTTCTTTTTGTAGTATCCAAACACTTTTTAAGTTATAGACCTTGAAATTATGTATTACACTATTTGAGTATTAATTGGTATAATGTAATCTTATTTTTGAACAATTTTTTATATACCATGGTTAAAGTATTATGTATTTTTCAAGATAATATATTGTATTAAATTTTTGAATTCAATTCTTGATATTAGTACTTTATTCAAAATATCAAGAACTTGTTTATCAATTAACTTTTTATTTTTTAGGGCTCTAGTAATCATATTGATTTTTTAAGCATTCATTTTTTAAGCTTGATAGCTGTCTTTTATTGTCTATTCAGATTCCCAGAAACCTTGCTTGTTTCATT